TTTAGAGAAAAATGTCAGCCACCCCACGGCTGCTTGTTGCTGAGAGCTGTTCCTTACCCTGCGTCACCGTGCCGGGGTGAAGAGTTTGCAAGTTTCTTTCCTGACCCAGCTACCCCTGCTCCTCTGGTCTCAGATGGGCTATGAGAGAGTCAGTTGGTGACTGCACAAAAGCTAGTTCGTAGCAAGGTAGCTTGCAGCCCAGAGCGTCCACTTGTGCTTCAGCATTTTGAACCCTGCCAGCTCTGCCTGCTGCACGCAGTCTCCAGCTATCTGTCTAAACCTTTAACTGGATTATCATCGTGGTAGACAGCCTTTCCTCGTGTTGTATTAAGGCTCAGGATGAAGAGAAGCTCAGTCATTTCAAGATTAAGTTTCTTATGCTTCTTGTGTTCCCAGGTGATTTAAGATATTTAGCTCTAACGAACAGTGCTGCAGTGGTACGTAACTCCATTTGTATCCTTGTGTATGCAAGTGTACCCACAGAATAAATTCCTATATTGAAATACTGGTTAAAGGATATATGCAATTATAAATTAAGTATGTAACACCAAAATGCCCTTCTAGAAGTTGTACCGACCTATACTCCCATCAGCAAGCATGTTCATTTCCCAGACCCTTGTCAACACCACGGATTAATCATACATTTTGGGGCCGGTGCTGTGGTGCAGCGGGTTAAAGCCCTGGCCTGAAGTGCCTGCATCCCATATGGGCGCCAGTTCTAGTCCTGCTGCTCTTCTTCTGATCCAGCTTTCTGCTATGGCCTGGGTAAGCATGAAGAAGCTCCAGGCTCCTGGCTTCGGATTGGCACAGCTCCGGGCATTGCAGCCATATGGGGAGTGAACCAGTGGATGGAAGACCTCTCTGTCTCTACCTTTCTCTGTAACTCTTTCAAATAAATAAAATTAATCTTAAAAAAATACATTTTATTCTGTAGCATACTAAGAGGTGAAAAATGGAGGCTCAGCATATGGTTTTTTTTATTATTTTATTTGAAAGTCAGATCTACAGAGAGAGAAGGAGAGGCAGAGAGAGAGGGAGAGAGAGGTCTTCCATCTGCTGGTTCACTCCCCAGATGGCTGCAACGGCCGGAGCTGTGCAAATCTGAAGCCAGGAGCCAGGAGCTTCTTCCAGGTCTCCCATGTGAGTGCAGGGGTCCAAGGACTTGGGCCATCTTTACTGCTGTCCCAGGCCATAACAGAGAGCTGGATCAGAAGTGGAGCAGCTGGGACTTAAACTAGTGCTCATACGGGATGCTGGCACTGCAGGCGGTGGCTTTACCCGCCACGCCATAGCACCAGCCCCTCAGCATGTGTTCAAATGCCATGTTTTTGTATGTTTAAGAGCCATTTGTCCTGGTGTTCACTATACTTCCTTTCTGTAACATCCATCTGACTGGCATTTTTCTGTTGAGTGCTATTGGCCTTTACTGACTTTTCAGGAATTCTTTACATTAGGAAGTCAGTCCTTTGCAATACAAGTTGCAAATATTTTTCCCAGTTTGTCTCTTTTGACTTTGTGGGAGTTATTGCTGTGTTGATTTTTAAAACATTCTTGAAGTTGCAGTTATGGATCTTTGATGACGTCTGGGTGTTTTTACTCTCAGGAATGGTCTTCACTGTCATACAAAGTCAGTCTCTCTCTGTTCTCTACCGAGAATGTGATCAGAATGTTCCTCAGCACCACGCAGGATGGCTCAGGAATCAGATTTTATTGGAGAAACTTATAAGCCGGAGTCAGCAAAAAGAGACTAGGTCTCCCATCTCATCAGCATCCCATAGAGACATGTCAGCGCCTGGGGCAGACAGCCGGACACGGTGGGTCTGAGTTTCATGGCAGATATCGGAGAATCTTATAGAGAAGCATAAAACAAGAGTCTTGTCTGTGGAGGGGAGAGTCAGATTACTGGGCCCCAAGACGTCTAGATTTAGTGTTTAGGATTATGACTATTGCAGGACTCATCTAGGAAAGCCAGCTGCCCAGAACTTGGGAACCGTGGAGTCAGAGAGAAGTTGTATAACAAAAGTAGAGGATAAGTACGCTAGTTTCCTAATCCTTTATAACCAGAGGTTCAAAAGATTTCATTTAAAGCTGATACATCAATTAGCAGGCACATTTAGAATACTGGTAAACCCTAAAACCGATGCTCTAATCAAACAAAATTGGGTCAGGTCCTCAGTTGCAGCAGTAAAATCCATACCAACTAGTTTAGGCAGAAAAACGTTTACTAAGTAACTCATAGAACATTGAAAGGGCTGGAAGAACAGGCTGAGGGCCCAGCTTCCAGTAACAACTCTCAGAACCATACTGTGGAACTGGCCTGGTAAGATCCCTTCTGCCATAGCCACCATTAGCCATAGCCAGGAGGGTGCTTCCTCTGCACCGAGCTGCTCCCTCCAGCTGCAGAACTGTCCTTTTGCACAGAACGCTCTCCCCCCACACAGCTGCACAGCTCTCCTTCTGGGTTAGCTCCCAGTTGCTATCCCCTGCCTGGGTCTCAGCCCGGGCTTTCCAATTGGATAATTTTTTTTTTTGTCTGAAGGCAATTAAAGTGGTGACTTAGTCTGTTTTTTCTTGCAACAACAGAATACTTGAGGCTGAGTAGGCTATAAAGAGATGATGTTTATTTAGTACACAGTTCTCGAAGTATAAGGGTATGGCACTGCCTTTTGCTTTGCTGCTTGTGTGGGTCTTCCTTCTGGGTCATAACATGACGCAGGGCATCCCAAAGTAAGACAGGACAATCAAGGCAGAGAGCTCACTTTTATACTAAAGTCTCTCTGGGTGAAACCTGTTAATGCATTCATATGATATTCTGTTAATCTATCTGCTATTCAGGAGGGTAGAGCTGGGGCTGGCACTGTGGTATAGCAGGTTAAGGCTGCCACCAGCAGTGTGGGCATCCCATGTGGGCGCCGGTTTGAGTCCCAGCTGCTCCACTTTCAATCCAGCTCTCTGCTATGGCCTGGGAAAGCAGTGGAAGATGGCCCAAGTGCTTAGGCCCCTGCACCCATGTAGGAGATCCAGAAGAGGCTCCTGGCTCCTGGCTCCTGGCTCCTGTCTTCGGATTGGCGCAGCTCTGGCCATTGTGGCTATCTGGAGAGTGAACCAGCAGATGGAAGACCCCCCCCCTTCTCTCTGCCTCTGCCTCTCTGTAACTCTGCCTTTGAAATAAATAAATTAATTTTTTTAAAAAAAGGATAGAGCTCTCATGATCAATCAGCTCTTAAAGATCCCCCCTGGGCTTACCTCTTAATGCCTCACAGTGGGCATTAAACTTCAACATGAGTTTCGATGGGGACATTCAAACCATAGCAGTTGGGTTTCTCAGATATTACTGAGTTCCGCTGTGTGGGAGGCTCCGTGCCGCACACTCAACCTGACCTTTGCTCACAGGAAGCCAGCCAGCTTGAAGTGGGAAGCCACAGGGTGAGAGCATGTCCCACAGGTGAAGGCACAATTCGCCAAGACAGCCAGTCTAGACAGCCTGACATTCATGATGTCACGCTCGTGGGAGTCTTCCGAAGCTCCCTCCTGTTCAGGCACCCCGAAGTCACCCACTTGTGAGGCGGCGAAATGTGCCGGACGGTGTGCTAAGTACCAGTGATACAAGGAAGAAACAGGAGAGAAGGAAAGGACTCTTGCTACCTCCCCCCAGAGCAGGTGAAGGGAAGTACAGTGCTGAAAGGTCAGATAGTGGTTTGGGGCCAGGAAAAAACAAGATGGGAAAAGCATAGGAGATTTTTATCTGGTTGGGAGAGCTGAGTATTGGTGGCAGGAGAACTCAGGGTCATGGAAGGAAATGTTGGGGTGCTGGGAGGCCTAGGGACTATAGAAAAAGGGGTTCTGGGATATTGGGCTGTGCTGTCTGATATGATAACCACTAGCCACATGCAGCTATTGGGCACTTGAAATGACATATATTTTGAATATATTGAGCATGTTGAAATGGCAAATTTTTAATATATTATGTTAAATGAAATATGTTACTAAAATTAATTTTAATAGTTCCCTTTATACCTTTCTAGTATGATATTAAAGAACTTAAAATTCTATGTGGCTTGCATATTTCTATCGGACAGTGCTGAGTTAGCCAATCAAGAAGAAGATCAGTGGGACAGAGGCCTTGTCATTTCTTCCTTCCTCCTTCTGCTCGTTTATTGTCTTCTTCTCTCTTTTCAGAACTAATTTAAGAGAAAAGTCATCTTTTCTCCACATTACTTTCCTTGCTTCTGCAACTCTTGTTTCATATGCAGGCTTTGTACAGAGCATGCAGGTGCACCCAGCTCTTCTTATCTTTCTGTACATGGCAAGGACACACGGGCTCAGACTGACAGCAAATGTATCCAAAGTAAAAGCTCCAAGCAGTTTCATAATTGTGACTTCCAAACTTAAAGATTTGCAGAGACTGGCCGGCGCCGTGGCTCAATAGGCTAATCCTCCGCCTCGCGGCACCGGCACACCGGGTTCTAGTCCCGGTCGGGGCGCTGGATTCTGTCCCAGTTGCCCCTCTTTGAGTCCAGCTCTCTGCTGTGGCCCGGAAGTGCAGTGGAGGATGGCCCAAGTGCTTGGGCCCTGCACCCCATGGGAGACCAGGAGAAGCACCTGGCTCCTGGCTTTGGATCAGTGCGGTGTGCCAGCCGCGGCGGCCATTGGGGGGTGAACCAACGGCAAAAGGAAGACCTTTCTCTCTGTCTCTCTCTCTCACTGTCCACTCTGCCTGTCAAAAATAAATAAATAAATAAATAAATAAAAAAGATTTGCAGAGACTGAAGGCAGAAGCTGTGTTTCACTCACTCATTCACTCATTCAACAAATATGTCGTGAATGTCTCCTAGAGATTGTTCTAGATCCCGGGGAAACGAGCAGACAGCACAGTGTCACTGCTTTGGTGTTCATACTCTAGTGTGTAGTGGTCTCTGAAGTGCCTGAAGATCAAGGTTTTGAGGTTTGCATTGTTGCCTGATACTGTCTATAATGCTAGTCCTCTTTTTTTTTCCAAGGATGATGGTGAGGTGATGTTTGAGACCACAAAATAAAACCGCCTTGCAAACATCGCATATTTGTTCAAACAGTGGTTGCAATTTCCATTAATCCACCCGGGTAGGTGACCTAAATGAGTGAAGGGGTTCTCAGCAGGAACAGAATCATCAGGATGAGTGTGTGTGTCTATGAGAAAGGGAAAGGCGGGGCGGGGGGGGGGGGCTTCAGGAATTGGCTCACTTGATTGTAGAGGTTCAGTGAGTCTCAAACCTGATGGAGAAGGCAGGCAGTTTGGAGATTCAGGGGGAGAATTGCAATTTGAGTCCAAAGGTCATCTTTGGGCAGTTTTTTCTTGCTCTAGGGGAGATCAATCTTTGTTCTATTAGGCCTTCAATTGATTGGATGAAGTCCAGCTGCATGATGTAAGGTAATCTTTTTTTTTTTTTTTTTTTTGACAGGCAGAGTGGACAGTGAGAGAGAGACAGAGAAAAAGGTCTTCCTTTGCCGTTGGTCCACCCTCCAGTGGCCGCCGCGGCCGGCGCGCTGTGGCTGGCACACCGCCCTGATCCGAAGCCAGGAGCCAGGTGCTTCTCCTGGTGTCCCATGGAGTGCAGGGCCCAAGCACTTGGGCCACCCTCCACTGCACTCCCGGGCCACAGCAGAGAGCTGGACTCGAAGAGGGGCAACCGGGACAGAATCCGGTGTCCCGACCAAGACTAGAACCCAGTGTGCCAGCACCGAAGGCGGAGGATTAGCCAAGTGAGCCTTGGCACTGGCTGTAAGGTAATCTTTAAATCCAATTATTTAAATGTTAGTATTATTTAAAGAAATACCTTCACAGAAAACATCCAGAATAATGTTTGACCAAATATCTGGGGACCATGGCTCACCTGCGTTGGCACAGAAAGTTAACTACCAGGAAAGGCTATAAGAACAATGGGCATAGGGAAACTGGGGCTGTCTGGGGACCTCACGAAACAGAACATATCCCACACAATGGAACCAAAACAAAATAGAAGCACAAAGTGAGTTTGTGGACTAAATTTGGCCTCAGGTCCCAGGCACCTCCGTAATGGCCTTCGAGGCTCAGTGTTGAAGTAGGTCAGCGTTCTCAGCTGTCATCCTGCGGAAGTTCCCTGTTGTCTCTGGCCTGCCAGCTCCATGGTAATTCTTGACTTCAATGTGCCTCTACTTTTGAATCAACCAAGTGGTTTCTTTCTTCAGGAACTGGAAAAACCATCTTCTGATGGAGAGGAGTGTGTTCCCCTCCTTGCGTACAGAGTTGACATGTATCAAATACAGATTTCACTTCAGAATCAAAAGGAAGATGCTGAGGGTATATTGTGGACCTTCCTTGACTGGTATCTTGCCTTTAGGGAATCTGTTTGACTCAATGGCTAGTACCCATAGTACATACTTGGTACATTTATTATTTCGTAGATTCCATTTTTTGGTTATGTAGACCGTCAAGTCAAAAGGTAGCCCCAGTTAATTGTTGACGTCCTTCCCTGTTATAAAGGCTCCCTGATGTGTTTATGCTTTTCCCGAGTCTGCACACCACATTAATGTGCTCTATGGAGAGATTATTTTTAGTCATAAAATTCCTTAACATGTTGGTGATGAATTTCTGTTAGAGATTTTTTTTTTTTTTTTTGCATTTTAAAAAAATCAAATCACAGCATGAGTTTCATCTGGGAGCCACATGTCTAGGAAAGTAATTATTTTAAACCCAAGGGCAAAACCGACCGTAGCTAACATGGACCCAATTTATGGTTCTGCCATAGTTGCTAAGACAGCACTGTACTCCTGACATACGCACTGTGCTACACGCTGTGCGCTGGTCACCAGCCTTGTAAGTGGCTTCCTGAAAGACCCTGACGTTTGAGGCCTGAAGTGTGAGGAGGTTTGTGGTCTCTGAAAATGGAGAACAGGAACCAGAAAAAGCTGTCAGCATTGAGGGCTTCTGAGTCTCTGAAGTGCAGATACAAGAGGACAGAGCTGCAGAAAAGCCCTGGGAAATATGCTACCTGTTTTAATGTTGACTGTGGTTATAAAAGGAAATTAGATCGCAAGTTCCTTCAAGGAAAGAAAGTCGCTTGTCCCTAGCAGGTAGCTGCTTGGATGAAGCGCTTTGATGATGAAAGGAAATAAAACCTTGAGCTCATGAGGAAAAAAACTACGTCTTCTGTAGCTGTCAATTAGTAAATAATTGTTGGATGAGGGCAAAGAAGGACAATTATGTCCCTTAGAAGAGTAATTCAGCCAAACTCTGCATCTGTGCTCATGTTACCCATGAATTAGAGATGCACAGTGCAACAGGCACAGATCCTTCAAACACGTGTCTGAGAAACAAATAAGACACAGAGAACGATCATAAGACAGTACCTGTCGGCCAATTAAACATCACATTCATAAAAGCAGCCTGCGTATCTTCCCAGACAAGTATCTGTCTGAGGATGCGCTCTAAACATCAGAGGTGACACCCAGGGAAGTACAGACTGGTGAAGATAATTGCAGAATAGGAGAGGGGCCTCGTCCAGACCACAGATGTGAAGTGGCTTGAACCCCTGCAGCCTCTGAGGTTCAGCACAAACTTCTCTTCACTGCTCACAGCTGAGACAGCTTCAGTCACCTGCTTGCTTGATGGAGCTGCTTATTCTCAGGTTGCTCTTTGAGAGTCCGTGGCTTTTCCTGTCCCATGCTCGGTGAAACCATGGATAACTCTTAAGAGTTCACGTATGATTTACAAGTATCCTTTTGTTCTTTAGATTTGCGTAGTCAAATTAAGTATCAGATGTGAACATAATGAGTTTTAAAATTTCATCCAAATGAACATTATTCCTTCCAGAGTCGTCATAGATTCCAGCAGTTCTGCCAACGCTCGGGATATTTTTGGAACTTTGTGTGTGTGTGTGTGTTTGTGTGTGTGCGTGTGTGCACAGTGTACTTAAGGATCTGCAAACATATTATTTTAAACTCTAGCCTTATGTTATCGCATGGTGCCCACCTCTCCAACCTCATCTCATTCCCCTCTTCCCCACTGTGCCCCAGGCACTTGCGCCTTCTTTTAATTTCTCCTGTACCCACAATGCATTCTTGTTGGAGCCTTTGCAGTAGCTGTTCCCTTTGGCTGAGGTGCTCACCTTTCACATCTTCCTTCTCAGGATGGGCTCCTTCCTTTTGTTCAGGTCTTGCTTGATGTCAGGTTCCTCCTTCCCTCCCTCCCTTCCTTCCTTTCTTTCTTTCTGCTACAGAGGGGCACAGAAAGAGAGAGAGAGAGAGGGTCTTCCATCCACTGGTTCACTCCCCAGATGGCCGCAATAGCCAGAGCTGTGCTAATCCGAAGCCAGGAGCCATGAGCTTCTTCTGGGTCTTCCTCTCAGGTGCAGGGGCCCAAGGACTTGGGGCATCTTCCACTGCTTTCCCAGGCCATAGCAGAGAGCAGGATCAGAAGTGGAGCAGCCAGGACTTGAACTGGCACCCATATGGGATGCCGGCGCTGCAGGCAGTGGCTTTGTCCACTACACCACAGCACCTTTACCTGCTATGCCACAGCACCAGTCCCAATGTCAGGTTCTTAAAGAAGCTTTCTCAGATCACTCAAACTAAAAAGCCATGTAACAACACTATCCCACCACGTTCACCAATGTAGGATGTTTTCTTGTTCACTGACTGTATCCTAACTCAAATAAAATCTTCACATTTTCAGTGCCTAGAAAGGTGCCTGCCACATTGTAGGTTCTCCAAGAGTGTTTGTTTCTTTTTTAAAGATTTATTTATTTATTTATTTATTTGATTTTAGTATATGTGCTGCTGAAGTGAGCACTATTTATTTATTTGAAAGTCAGAATCACAGAGAGGAGAGAGAAATAAATCATCCATCCACTGGTTCACTCCCCAAACGGCTGCAATAGCAGGGGCTAAGCCAGGCTGGAGTCAGGAGCCAGGAGCTTCTTCCAGGTCTCCAGTGTGGTTGCAGGGGAAGAAGCACTGGGTCATCCTCCGCTGCTTTCCCGGGTGCATTAGCAAGGAGCTGGATAGGAAGGAAGTGGGGAAGCCAGGACTCAAACCGGTGCCCATATGGGATGCTAGTGTTGCATGCAGTGTCCTTACCCTCTGTACCAAAACACTGGCTCCTCAAAGAGTATTTACTGAATAGATTGAAAAGTATAATTACTTAAATCTCTGACCCTGTGGTTAAAAAAAAGCAAAAAAAATAAGAGGTTATTGTAGATTCTTTTCTCTTGTTAATTTGTTTTTTATTTTACTATATATTTTATAATTTATTTTATATCATATGCCTATTTATAAATGTATCTTTTTCGCCTACGAAGTTGTGGGCTTCTGAAAAGAATGAAATATATATCTAGTTTTCCATACCCCTTAGAGGACTCAGCACAAAACTATGACATACTGAGTTCTAGATATATATTTTTATTAGACTGAACCAAATTTGAATGGTAAAGAGTGTGTGTGTGTGTGTGTGTGTGTGTGTGTCTGTGTTGGAGACAGGGAGACAGACAGAACACATTTATATGGGCCTGTTTGGATACATTTTGTGCCAATGATTTTAGACTGATTCTGAGGGTCTGCTTACATTTAGAAAGTGCAAATTTGGAAAAAGATCAAATTCCCGGGCCATGTTGTTATAACAGCCCAAATCCAGCAGGACATAAAACAACTCCGACAAAATGTGCTAAGGTCATGTACTTAAGATGATGCACATCCAATTTACTCAACACTTGGTTCTTCTTACGTGAAAAGCTATGGCATAAGGAATTAAAGGGGGCTACTGTCACAAAAGCCAGGTTTACTCCATTTTTAACTGGAGTAAGTGGAACAGATAGAGATCCTTGAAGACTGACCCTTGAGGACTGTGCCCTGCTGTGTTTTCTCTGCAGTGACTAGCACAGCATATAATGTATTGGGGACACGTAACAAAAGCTTGCTAAATGATGGATTAAATGGGAAAAATGGAGAAATGAAAAGTGATGAGATTGATTCTTTTGTATGACTCATAAATTGGCACAGAAGCCATTGGCTCAGAAGGAACTCAATTGAAGAGTTCCAAAAACACGGCATCGTTGACCTAAGTGCGTGGTCATATTTAGCTTTAAAAGCAGCATTGCCATCCATCAAGTCACCATCTCCCAGCCTCTCAGGCTAGAAACTCGAGAAGCTCCTATGAGTCACCCACCATCTATCCCCTTCCACATCTGAGTGGTCATTAATTCCCAGCAGGTTCACCTCGGGAATACCCTCGGTCCCGCTGCCTCTTCCCCTAGTTTCTAGATAACAGTTGTCAGCCTCTCTTCCTTTGGCAATGAGTCTTCTCCCAACTCCCTGTAGTTGCTCTCCCGTAACAGGATATGAAATGAGAGGGACTTCAGAGGGTCCAAACAGAAAGCAACTTGTTCTATCCCATGACTGGCCCATTAATGCTTCTCTCCAATCTTTCTTTCGTACCCATGGTTTTCTGGTTACCTTCGGGTATCAAAAAGTTCAGTCCAACCTAGCATGAAAACTTTAACTTCTTACCCCAATCAAAGCTCTCTCTTCCATTAGCGTGGGCTGCACCTGAACTTGCAAACATGTGGTGGAGGAGGCAGTTACGGCATTTTCTTCTCTTTCACCTCTCCTTACGCTAGCGAGGCCCACGAGGGGATTCGAGAAAAGGAAGCCAGGTTCAAGTGGTTCTTGCCGTTACAATCACAACACCTTTGGTGAGCGGCAGACCTAATGGGTATTTCCCTGGTGTGGTGCACCTGAGGATTGTTTAGGGGACCCCCTTCCCTGGCACTTCCTACTGTAGCATTCTTTGCTTGGACAATGCCCGCGTTAGCTAGCTTCTTACATTTCCCCTCTTAATACCTGGATTCCAAGCAGACCACCCCACAGAGTGTTTCCTATGTTGGAATCATCTAGAAGAGCCTCTTAAATGGTCGGTAAGATGACTCAAGTCCAGCTCCCATCCTTATAGCCACCTGGCACAAACTTCCCACTGTTTCTGAAGGGCAGCTTTGTTCTTGCGGGAATCCACTGTCCCTGAGGTGCCTCCTGCCTGCGTTTCACTGGGCTTTATTCCAGTGCACTCAGAGGCAGCCTCTGGGTCCCTTCTATGTGTGTTCACTTAAGAAACCTGAAGATGTGTGAAGGTCTGATCATGGCAGAACTGGCGCTAGGCCATTCTGTTTGCAAGTCCTGCCTGGATGGTCTTGTACCTCACTTAAGATGTAGAGGTGGGGAACTTCAATCAATTGTTCTCAGCTTTGGAGTCTCAGCCAAAACTCTGAAAAAGGAAGAGACCTATTTTAACATGTTGTTACATTCCTTTGAAAACATCAGATACTGTTTTGTTTTATTTAAGTGCTCCAAGTTTACAGTGCTTGATTTTTGAAGTGCAGACCCGAAGCAGACATCTGAAGTGGATCACATCATTCTGTACATGAGACGCCAAAGCCCAGGGAGGTTGCTTAACGCGTGGAATATCACACAGCCGGGAATGGCTGGGCCACATCCTAGGTCTTCGGCCTCCAAATCTTCAGCCCTTCCTATTACACTATCCTGTCTAAAATGCTTCTCCTTAAAGGGGACCAGCGACACCTACTCTCAAAATGGAAGCATTTAAAATTACTCTTTTTAACTGTACATATTTATTATGGGAAATAATTTCATACAAATGAAAAGACAACTGCCTTTGTACAGTTTTTGGAAGGTCCGGTCGAGTAGAAATAAGACCTGAGTGACAGTGCTGGCGCTAGTTAATGATGTAACCTTGAATTTAGTCCCTCGTTGGGACTCATTTTCTCAAGCGTAGTATGGGGAGCTGGGACTGTATGAAATCTAGGCTATTTTCCAATTCTGAAAATAAAAATTCTTTCTTAGAAACCTTAGAGGAATAACTATGAGAACTGACACGAACAGTCTCCAAACACGAAGCTTCGAGTAGGTTGTGGCGGTCATGGCCCTTGACTTCCCAGGGCCTTGCTGCAGGGTGAATCTGCCAGTGCAGGGAGATGAGCCTTGTCAGTTTATTCAGGAGAAGACCCCTCACTTTGTTGTTGCCTTCAAAGTTATCCTCAAGCCCCACCTCTTCTGTGCCGTCGCCCGGATTACTCGAGTGCACATTGGCCCCCTCCCAGCTCCTGCAGACCCTGAGCCCGTTAGCACCGCAGAGCTAATAATCTGATGCTCTTCTCGTGCACTGCGATTCCTGTGTATGCGGTTTCTTCCATGGCGCCTTTCCTGTAGGCAGCAGCCATGCTTCCTGGACATGGTCTGAGCCCTCGGGAGGCCCCCATCTATGTTAGAAGGAGGAGGCCGTGCAAGGTCCCATCAGAGACTCAAGACCTGTGGGGTTCCCAGTTATCCCTGGAGCAGGGCCCTTAGCAGGCAGCCTGGGGGCTAGAAGACAATTGGACCCAGGGTTTGAACCTTCTCTGGAAAAGGATCCCAGGTCTCTCCTTACACGGTTGGCTTCAGGCCGTCCTCCCTGGAGCAGACCAAGAGAGTGGAGTCAGCCGGGGCCCTAAACTATCTGGGGTGCGCGCTGGGCCTCCTGGCTGAGAAGGCCGGAACACTCGCCCCCGCTGTCAGTGCTGTTTGCTTGGTTCCATCCCTTCCTCTTCCATCCTCCATGCCTCCTCCTGTCTGTCTCACGGTCCCGGTCTTCCCCACCACTGTCCCTCTGGCTGACTTTCTCTCAAGTCTCTTATTCACCTCCCTCCCTTCCCACTCTGTTGCCAGCCTCCGCGTCAGCCCATGTTTCTGTTGCTGTCACTATCTGTCACCGTCTGCTCACAGAGCGGGTAGGGACAGCCCCACTCTCATGGCGCACGAGGGAAACAAGGTGACTTCCATTCATTTTTCTCATTTTCTGAGATCAGCGTCGTGGTCGTCTTAAGGTGGGCGGCAGAGTGGTGGCATGAGGCTGCACCTCAGGACAGCCCAGGTCTGTCCCTCAGCGCTGGTGTCAGGCTTGCGATGGCAGGAGCCGTGGAAGTCCTCCGAAGTAGGCCACACGTGCGCCGCGGCTGCTTCCGAGCTCTCCCGGCAGCCCTTCTGAGCGCACTGCCTCGAGTCACACATGCGAAGTGCAATGTGGGTGTTTTAATCACTGAAGAGAATCCTTCATCCTGCTCCTTCAGCACAGAGCTCTCTCTCCGGTGCCAGGAACCGCGGGGAGCCTATTGCTTCCCGTCCTGAATTGGATGCAGAAGCGTTAGGTGAGGCTCAGTACAATTTTCAGTTGTTATCAGAGGAGGCCCTTAGAGACATTTCTCAATTCTAGCAATTAGCCACACGGGGGTCAACCAAGCGCTCTCAGCTCTAATTAACAGCTGTGTTGAATCTGGGACACATACAATTCCTTTGAGGATGCACTTTCCAAACAGAAACAAAACCGGAATATCAAGCTCTTTCTTCCTTATCAGGGGCTGTGAAGTCCAAAAATTGTCGCCGGGGGCATTCTTAATAAAAATGCCAGGAAGCTGAGCAGCTTCTGGGCCGAGTGCATGACTTTAAAGGCAGAAACGACACTCTGAGCTCCACTCTGAAATCGCCCAGCAGGGCTCCGGCGGCTCTGGGGAGTGCTATGGGAATTAGGTGCCTCCCGGCTCCACGCCCAGAGCCCAGCTACACCCAGCAGGCTACATGATATCACCGCCACACACATCAAAGGCTTGCTCTCCAGCTTCAAAAGGAAAAGGAAAAGGAACAGGATACTTTGTGTTGGGAGTCCTGCTCTGAGCGGGAACTGGGCTGCTGCCTGTTCAAGTTGTTCCCTGGGTATTCTGGCGTCTTGCCCTGCCTGACAGCTGCAGGAGTTCTGTAAGAAATCGGAGGGAGAATTTCCTTTGCAGCCATGACTGAGAACCCAGGATCAAGAGCTTTGCAGACCGAAAAGACATTACCCTTCAAATATCCCAAGTCGTCCATTAGGGTCAACGAGCAGCTGGCAAAAAAGCAGGGCAGCTGGCCGTGCAGCCGTGGCCTGGATGGAGAAATTGTATTCCACTGGGAACCAGGCAGCAGAATTTCTTTTCACTAAGAGAAAACTTACAGAAACATTTAAAAATAAGTATATGTTAATACTGGCATATTCCAAATGGCCAGAAGCATACAGAACAATACCGTGGTCCCAGATCAGTGAATGTTAACTTTGTGCCACATTCATTTCACCTCTTTTTCTACCAAATTGACATCTGTGTTTGAATTGTCACCTCCTTACCCCGGCCCCACTCCCCAGGCCTGTGGGGCTGGCCTGGATCTTCTCGGGTATCCACAACAAAGGGTGTATATTCTTGCTGCATTTGGATGCGCCCAAAAGCAACAATATTCTTCTCTCTGCTTTTGGAATTTAAATAAGTGGTACCATTCTGTACTCCCCTTCTGCTACATGTTTTCATTCCTCTCAACACATTTCATAATCATCCATGCTAATATATGTCAATCTAGCACATTCATTTTAACTTCAGAAAGGTATTTCATGATGTGACTGCATCAGAGGCCATTTGTCCATTCCCTGGTTGGTAGATATTATGTAGTTCAATTTTGGGGGAATCACAAACATTGCTGAGATGGATAGTCTTGTGTTTGTTGGGGCACATATGGGAAATTATCTCTATGGCAATGGTTCTTCAAGTTTTGTTCTTGCAGTCTTTTTATATTGTTAAAAATTATTAAGAACTCCAAATAGCAATGTCGTTGTTTATGTGGATTCTGTCTACTGATATTTAGGGTGTTTGAAATCAAAAAAGGAAATGTAAAGCTATTAATTAGTTTAAAAATAATAAACCTGTTATAATTCAACACAGAAATGTGTTTTTTTTTTAATGAAAAATTAGTATACTTTACCAATCCAGAAAACATTAATGAGAAGGGGGGAACTCTTGTGCATTTTTGCAAATCTCTTTAATGTCTGGCTTAATAGAAGTCAGCTGGGTTCTTATTATCTGCTTCTGCATTCAATCTGTTGCAGTGTGTTGTCCGGCTGAAGTATGTGAAAAAACACAGGCCTCACACAGACATGTAGTTGTAAGAGGGCGGAGTATTCTAATAACCTCAGATAATTTTTTAACATTCTTCATCAAAGATACTAATCAAAAGTCAAGTGATAGCCTTTCATTTTAAAAATGATTTAATTTTTATTTGAAAAATTGTCAGAGAGGCAGAGACTGAAGTAGTTGAGCCATCACCGGCTACCTCTTAGGGTGCCCATTAGCAAGACACTGGATGGGAAGCAGAGTAGCTGGGACTGAAACCAGATACAGTGACGCAGGCATCCCCAGGTGGCAACTCAGTTGGTGCCAAATGCCCTCCCTTAGTGATAGTCTCTTAAAGATTAGTTACAGATGGAATCTGAAATTATCAATGTAATTCACATACTCTCACACTAAACCCATTGGTCTTTCTTGGTCATTTGGAAAACATTGATTCACTGTGCATTTCACACAGTCGTTGACAGATTTCATCCTATAATATGAAAGAAACATTTATTTGTATCACCACCAATTTAATTATAAAACTTTTTAAAAAATTTAGAAAAATGTCAAGATCATGGTGCTAGATGCAAGTTTTCCAAAATTCTAATATTTCAAAGCTCAAAATTTATCATTGGCAACAGATGTGTCAGTTGCTTTCCTTGAAATGACAGGCTCACTTTGTTCATTTTTTAGGAAAATGAATGCCTACCAAATTCCCAAGTCTGAATAACCATAGTCAGTCTTTCTTCCAAATAGTTTTTCATGAAGCGGTGTTTCATGAACAAAGTGGCTCTTTCAATTCATAGCTCAAAACAACGCAGGAATGTTTTTCCTTGAGAGAACAGACATCATGCCGTAGTGTGCAGAAGCGCTTTATGTGTGTTACCCATTTCGTTACACAGAATATTGATATTACAAAGCCATGTGCTTGGAGCCGGTGTTGTGGAACAGCAGGTTAAGCTATGCCAGAGTCACCAGCATCCTGTTTGAGCGCTGATTCATTTCCCAGCCGCCCACTTTCTTTCCAGCTCCCTGCTAATATACCTGGGAAAGCAGCAGCAGATGACCGAACTCTTTGGGTCTCTGCCACACACGTGGGAGACCCAGATGGAATTCCAGGCCCTTGGCTTTGGCCTGGCCCAGCCTTGGCTATTGCTGCCATTTGGGAAGTGAACCACCGGATGGAAGATGTCTCTCTCTATCCCTCTCTGTCTTTCTCTGTCTCTCGCCTCTCTCTCTCTGTAACTCTGCCTTTCAAAATAAGTAATAAATAAATCTTTAAAAAAAGACATGTGCTCGGCAGTTGAGAGTTAATGAAGTTTAATAATATTTTTTACTATTTAATCTATAATATTCTTAAGTAAGATTAAATAATATTACTATTGTTTTAATTCAAGTACATAGCTGTAAAGAATATTACAATAGGAGCCAGTGCTGTGGTGTAGTAGGCTAAGCCTCCACCTGCAGCTCTGGTATCCTATATGGGCACCAGTTTGTGCACCGGCTGCTTCTCTTCTGATCTAGCTCTCTGCTATGGCCTGAGAAAGCAGTGGAAGATGACAGAAGTCCTTGGGCCACTGCACCCATGTGGGAGACCCAGAGGAAGCTCCTGGCTCCTGAATTTGGATCAGCCCAGCTCTAGCCATTGAAGCCATTTGGAGAGTGAGCCAGTGAGTAGAAGATCTTTGTTTCTGTCTGTAACTCTACTTCTCAAATAAATAAATAAATAAAATCTTTAAAAAAATATTGTGATGACCAGGACAGTTAAGTACTGCAGCCTTGATTTGTGCTAAAGTAGCAGCAGTTTTAATAATTATGTTTTTTCATTGAATAAACAAATTGTTCAGAGTAGAATTGCTAAGGCCCAGGAGATATACATCTATAATTTCATTAGATGACACTAAATTTTTCTCCAAAGAGAGTGTGTCCTTTTAGACATCTACCAGCAGTGGATGAGAGTTCTTGTTTCTCCAGAACCTGACTATGGAACTTGTCATTTATTTGTTAGAAAGGCGGAGAGAGAAAAGATCTTCTATCCACAGGTTCACTTCCCAAATGGTCACAATAGCTGAGGCTGAGCCAGGCCAAAGCCAGGAGCCTGAAACTCCCGCATGGGTGGCAGGACCCAAGTACTTGGCTGTCTTCTGCTACTTTCCTAGGTACCTTAACAGGAAACTGGATTAGAAGCAGAACAGCCAGCAGTACAAATGGCAGCTTAACCTGCTGTACTACAACGCCAGCCTCAGAACTTGTCTTTTAACTAAGGTTTTTGATTCTTGGTGAAGACATTTAAAATTTTAATGTAATTAAATTTATCAATATTTCCCTTTTATGATTTGTGATAGTGGGTTATCTCATCCATGAACATGGTATATGTTTCCATTTATTAAGTTTTTTAAAAATGTCTCTCAAATAGTGTTTTTCATACATACTTTACACATACTTTGTTAGTTTTAATTCTAAGTACCTTATAGATTTCTTTCTATGCTGAATAGAATTTTTTAATTAATCAAATTTTGTATTTAGTAGACAGTGTAGAGTAATGCTATTGAATTTCATATATTTATATTATATAAAAACCTTATTTAACTTTTATTAGTTCTAATAGATTATCTTGGATATTCTATACAATCATATAATTTATGAATAAAGCAAATTTTATTGGAGACTTAAGGTTTCTAGTCTGCCATGTAAAGAGCTTGAAAATGACCACTCCTGTCCAGACAAGAGGAGAGCTTAGCAAACTAAAAGCCAATAACTTAAAAAAATATCTGTCAGAGAACCAGGATCACAGGACAAGCCATTGTCCCTGAAACCAAAGAGACAGATGGATAGAGAGAGTCACAATTTACTGGAGCACACGTCTCAAAGCAGAAACCTCGATGGGAATCAGTACTAGAGTAGGAAAACCTACCCCAGAACTGGCCATTCATTGCGGGGTCAGTGTGGGCATTTGAGAACTCAGAACTCCAGAGGGTCAAGTGTCAACGGAGACCCTAGAAGCTCATGACCTTAACTTCCCAGACCCCTCCATGTTTCTCATAGTGAATAGGGAAGTAAAAAATCCTCTGGTATTCTCACCTGAACAATCATTTTGAAATATGTCCAAAGCATCCTCCTCTTCCTAACAAGACCTAGTCTCAAGAGAAACTGTTTCACCAGAGCCTAACTCACCGGGGTTTTACCAGAGACTCACTAACCTGAGGGAAGGGAAATATGCAATTCTACCTCAGACTAGCTTTCCGCAAGGAGGAAGGGAGAGCCAACCACAGCCCCCGCTGGCCTCCAGTCACAAAAGCAGGCACTTGAGAAGGTCGCAGCTCAGGGGCACAAGTTCCTCACAGGTCTGCCTTCCTCCCACTCCTCACCAGCTCCTCCGTAAGGCCTCTGTGGGACACAACTAAAAGAACTGTGTTTCTCAGGCATTATTTAAGAAGTCTCTTGGGGTGGGGGAGGGAATAGAAGAGGCAGAAACAATGACACAGGAGGAAATTTTAACCTCGGAACTACAACTCCAGCAAACAGTAAATACATTCTCACCTCCACCCAGATAAATATAAAACCTCACATCAAAGATGATTTCTCTCAGTTCCTTTTATTCAGTGTGTCATATCTGACTTTCAACAAAGTATTACAAGGCATACTAAAAGACGAAAAGCACAGTTTGAAGATCCAGAATAAACTTCAAAACCAGACTCACATATATGGCAGAGATTGGAAATTTAGGGCAATTATAATTAATATGCTATGAGAGTTTTGTTTCTGTCATTGTAATTCTTACATATTTTTTTCTTTCTAAAAATTTTTTGCTTTTTTTAAAAGATTTATTTATTTATTTTTAAAATTCACTTATTTATTTGAAAGTCAGAGTTAAACAAAGAGAGAAGGAGAGGCAGAGAGAGGGAGAGAGATCTTTTATCCGCTGGTTTACTCATCAACTGACTGCACTGGCCAGAGCTGTGCCCATCCAAAGCCAGGAGCCAAGAGCCTCTCCCGGGTCTCCCATGTGGGTTCAAGGGCCCTACTGCTTTCCCAGGCCATAGCAGAGAGCTGGATCAGAAGTAGAGCAGCCAGGTCTCAAACTGCAGGTGGTGGCTTTTTACTCGCTACGCCACAGCACCGGCCCCAAATTTTTTGCCTTTTTTTTTTTTTTTTGACATGCAGAGTTAGACAGTGAGAGAGAGACAGAGAGAAAGGTCTTCCTTTTTTCTGTTGGTTCACTCCCCAGATGGCCGCTACAGCCGGCGCACTGCACCCCGATCCGAGCCAGGAGGCAGGTGCTTCCTCCTGGTCTCCCATGCAGGTACAGGCCCAAGCACTTGGGCCATCCTCCACTACCTTCCCAGGCCGCAGCAGAGAGCTGGACTGGAAGAGGAACAACTGGAACGGAATCCGGCGCCCCAGATGGGACTGGAACCCGGGGTGCCAGCACCGCAGGCAGAGGACTAGCCAAGTGAGCCGCGGTGCCAGCCAATTTTTTGCTTTTTAAGATCTATTTATTTATTTGAAAGGCAGAGTTACAGAGAAGGAGAGAGAGAGAGAGAGAGAGAGAGAGAGAGAGAGTGTCTTTCATCTTTTGGTTCACTCCCCATATGGCAGCAATGACCTGGGCTGGTCAGGCTGAAGCCAGGAGCCTGGAACTCTATCCAGGTCCCCCTTATGGGTTCAGAGTCCCAAGCACTTGGCCTAGCTTCCTCTGCTTTTCCAGGCACATTAGCAGGGAGCAGGATTGCAAGTGGAGCAGCCAAGACTTGAACCGGAGCCCATATGGGGTGCCAGCACTGCAGGCCATGGCTTAACACACTGTGACACAACACTGGCTCCAACACACATTGTGTTTCTTGCACAGGTCTTGTAGTACACCGTTAAATAGATGGGATTGTGATGGTCATCCTGGTCCTTTCCCCATGCATTTTTTTTTTTTTAATTTTTTGACAGGCAGAGTGGACAGTGAGAGAGAGAGACAGAGAGAAAGGTCTTCCTTTTGCCATTGGTTCACCCTCCAATGGCCGCCGCGGCTGGCGCGCTGCGGCCGGCGCACCGCGCTGATCCGATGGCAGGAGCCAGGAGCCAGGTGCTTTTCCTGGTCTCCCATGGGGTGCAGGGCCCAAGCACCTGGGCCATCCTCCACTGCACTCCCTGGCCACAGCAGAGGGCTGGCCTGGAAGAGGGGCAACCGGGACAGAATCCGGCGCCCCGACCGGGACTAGAACCCGGTGTGCCGGCGCCGCTAGGCGGAGGATTAGCCTAGTGAGCCGCGGCGCCGGCCTTCCCCATGCATTTAAAAATGTTTCTAACATTTCACTATTGAATATAATGTTTGCCATCGGTTTTTGATAAACCCCTTTTCCCAGGTTAGGAGCGTCTCCTCCTGGAGCTGCCGTTTGGCCTAGCGGTAGAGACACCAGTGTCCCACACTGGAGCACCTCAATTTGTTTCCTGGCTCCAGCTCCCATCCCCAACTTACTGCCAGTGCAGCCCCTGGGAAGCAGCGGTGATGCTCAGGTAATTGGGTTCCTGCCACCCACGTGGGAGGCCTGGATTGGTGCCCAGCTCCTACCTTAGGCCCCAGTCCAGCCCTGGCTATTGTGGGTGTTTGGGGAGTGAACCAGTAAAGTAAATGAGAACTCTCTCTCCCTCACTGTTATTCTCTGCCTCTCAAATGTTTTAAAAGAGGAATGTTTCCTTCTATTTCTAGGTAGCTAAGAGTTTTATGTTTTCTTAAATCATACATTGCTGTTGAATTTTATTGAATGCTTTCCCTATATCGTCTTAGATGATCATATGGTTTTCCTTCTCTACTTTATAAATGTGTTGAAATAAGATTTTTTTTCTTATGATAATTCATCATTACATTTGTGTGATAAACTCAAACTGGTTGTGATTTTTTAAAAACCACATTCCTGGGTTTGGATTGCTATTATTTTGTTTAGACTTTTTTTTTTTTTTAATTGTTTGCTTGTTTTTTGTTGTTGTGGTTTTATTTTTCCTTCCTTCCTTCCTTCTTTCCTTCCTTCCTTTCTTGTTCACTTCCCAAATGACCGCAATAGCTGAGGCTGGGCCAGGTTGAAGCCAGGAGCCAGGAGCTTCATCTGAGTCTCCCACATGGGTCAGGGGCCCAGGTGCATTAACAAAGAGCTGGATCAAGTGGAGCAACTGGGACTTGACCCAGCGCCCATAAGGGATGCCAGTGTCAAAGTTGGCAGCTTAACCCACTATACTGCAACTCCAGCACCAAGATTTTTTTACACTTATGTTTATCCTAAGATTGATGGATACTTTCCTTTCTTGTACAGTGAGTGTCTGGTTTGGTATTAAGGATATACTAGCTTCATAAAATGAGGTTTCCATTTTTGAGTTCATTTTCTGGAAATGAACTTCTCTGTAAAATCGTATGAATGTCATGTTTTCTTTGTGGTAGATTTAACTTTTATGATTATTTGTATAGAAATATTTCCTATTTCTCAGGTTAAATTATATATGTGTTTGTATATAATAATATAGAGATTATTTGAAAGGCAGAAAAAGAGAAACAGGCAGCTACACAGAGGTCCCATCTTTTGATTCAATCCCCAAACAACTGTAACAGCTGAGACCTGGCCAGGTTGATCCCAGGAGCCAGTAACTCGGTCTGGGTCTCCCACATGGGTGGCAGAGATCCAAGTAACTGAGCCGTTACCTGTTCTTCCCAGAGAGCACATTAGCAGGAAGTTGAAATCAGGAACAAATTAAGGCCTAAAGCTTAGGCACTGTGATGAGGGATGCGGGCATCCTGACCTGTGGCTTAACCATTTGGTCAAATTTCTGCTCCTCAATGCATTTTGAAAGTTATAATCATAGTTAAGTCTTTAAATGTTGTTGATTTGTGCCATTTTTACCAGAAGTTTGTCTACCTATTTTATCCAACTTTAGGTACCATCCATTGTAAAAATTTCAAATATTAAAATGAGAAAAAGGTGTCTGAAAATTGTTACAAGATCTGTTTTTCATATAATGAATTTCTGCTGCCATCTTTGCTATGTGTTCCTTCTGCTTGCTTTCTCACTCTGTTGTGCATTTTTTAAAAATTTTATTTTATTTATTTTGAAAGAGTTAAAGAGAGAGGGAGAGACAGAAAAAAAGAGAGAAATCTTCCATCTGCTGGTTCACTCCCTAGATGGCCACAATGGCCAGGACTGGGCCAGGCTGAAGCCAGGAGACAGGAGATTTATCTGGGTCTCCCACATGGTGGCAGGGGCCCAAACACTTGAGCCATTGCTGCTTTTCCCAGCCCTTAGCAGGGAGCTGCATTGAAAGTGGAACAGTCGGGATACAAACTGGCCGGGGCCCAAGCACTTGGGCTAGCCTTTACTGCCTTCCCAGGCATATTAGCAGTGAACTGGATCAGAAGTGGAGCAACCAGGTCTTGAACCCATGCTCATATGGGATGCTGGTGTCATAGGTAGTAATTTTACCTGCTAAGCCACAATGCTGGCCCCTTTGTCTTTTACACACACACACACATGGGGCTGGCACTATGGCTTAGCTGGTAAAAAGCTACTGCCTGCAGGGCCTGCATCCCATATGGATGCCTATTCAAGTCCTGGCTGCTCCTCTTCCGATCCAGCGCTCTGCTATGACCTGGGAAAGCACTGGAAGATGGCCCAGGTCCTTGGGCCCCTCCACCCACATGGGAATCCTGAAGGATGCTTCTGGCTCCAGGCTTCAGATTGTGCAGTTTTGGCTGTTGGAGCCATCTGGGGAGTGAACCAGTGGATGGAAGACCTCTCCCTGTCTCTCTCTCTTTCTCTCTCTGCCTTTCAAATAAATAAATGAATTTTTAAAAATCAAAAAACAAAAACCATAGTCTTCATTAAATATATATATATATATATATATGAGGCAGTTCATTTTTTAAAGATGTATTTATTTATTTATTTGAAAGTCAGTGTTACACAGAGAGAGGAGAGGCCGAGGTAGAGAGAGGAGAGGCCGAGGGGGAGAGAGAGAGAGAGAGAGAGGGAGGGAGGGAGAGGTTTTCCATCTGCTGGTTCACTCCCCAGTTGGCTGCAATGGCCGGAGCTGGGCCCATCCAAAGCCAAGAGCCAGGAGCTTCCTCTGGGTCTCCCACATGGGTGCAGGGCCCCAAACACCTGGATCATCGTCTACTACTTTTCCAGGCCATAGCAGAGAGCTGGCTCAGAAGTGGAGCAGCAGCTGGGACTCGAACTGGTGCCCATATGGGATGCTGGTACTGCAGGTGGTGGCTTTACTTGTTATGTCACAGCACTGGCCCCAAGACAATACATTTTTCTTACATGCTATTTGCACTATAAGTTTGACATATATTTTCATTACTATTTCTTTTTCATGTATTTCACATTCATTATTATTTCTTCTTTGAAGACTAAATTATTAAAAGTGTGTTTTCTTTCAAATAAAAAAACAAAGTGTGCTTTTAAATTTCCAAACATTTAAAAATATTTTGGTTATTTATTTCTAACTTTATGACCTTGTACTCAGAAAACATGATGTATATATAATTCTTTAGTATTTTTTAAGATTTCTTACATGATCTGGTCCATAGTCAATTTTTGTAAGTATTTTCTAGGTTATCTTTTTTATTTTTTAAGGAATACAAATTTCAAAAGTACAACTTTAGGAGTATAGTTATTCTTCCCATCATACCCACCCTCTCACCCACACTCCCACCCCTTTTCCTCCTCCCTCTCCCCTTCCCAATCCCATTCTCCATTAAGATTTATTTTCAATTAATTTTGTCCACAGAAGACCAACTCTATACTAAGTAAAGATTTCAACATTTTGCGCACACTTGAACACACTCAAAAAAACTGTTTGGGAACTAGTTTTACAGTTAACTCTCATAATACAACTCACTGAGGACAGAGGTCCTACATAGGGAGTTAGTTGCTGCAAAGTGACTCCTGTTTTTAATTTAACAATTAACACTTATGTATGGCATCAGTGACCACCCGAGGCTCTTGACATGAGCTGCCTAGGTAGCCTTTTGAATCCATAAACTCTGTCAGTATTTAGACAAGGCCATAAGCAAAGTAGAAGTTCTCTCCTCCCTTTGGAGAAAAGTACATCCTTCTTTGATGGCCACTTCTTTCCACTGGGGTCTTACCCACCAAGGTCCTTCATGCAGAACATTTTTTGCCAGTGTCTTAGCTTTCTATGCCTGAAATGCTCTCTCAGCCTTTTCAGCCAGAAAAGGATGCCTTAAAGGCTGATTCTGAGGTCAGAATGTTACATAAAGCAATTGTCATTCTATGAGTCTGCTGTGTGGCCTGGTTCCCATGTTGGAACATTCTCTCCTTTAATTCTATCTATTATTATTACCAGACAGTTGATCCTATTTATATGATCACTTTAACACTTAATCCTATCTGTATGTTCACTTTGATACTTAATATGGGGCTGGTGCTGTGGCATAGCAGGTATAGCCGCTGCCTGCAGTGCCGGCATCCCATATGGGCACCAGTTTGAGACCCGGCTGCTCCAGTTCTGATCCAGTTCTCTGCTATGGCCTGGGAAAGCAGTAGAAGATGGCCCAAGTCCTTGGACCCCTGCACCCACATGGGAGATCTGGAAGAAGCTCCTGGCTCCTGGCTTCAGATCAGTGCAGCTCCAGACATGGCAGTCAATTGGACAGTGAAACAGCGGATGGAAGTCCTTTCTCTCTCCCTCTTTTCTCTGCCTCTCCTTCTCTCATTGTGTAACTCTGACTTTCAAGTAAAATAAACAAATCTTTAAAAAAAAATACTTAATATGATCACTTTAACACTTAAGATGGCATTTTTACCACACAGCTTAATGGGATTTGGGGTCCCATGACAAGTTTTTAAATTGTACCCTTAGGAATAAGTCCACAGAGGCTGGCGCCGCGGCTCACTAGGCTAATCCTCTGCCTGCGGCGCCAGCATGCCGGGTTCTAGTCCCGGTCCGGGCGCCAGATTCTGTCCTGGTTGCTCCTCTTCCAATCCAGCTCTCTGCTGTGGCCTGGGAGAGCAGTGGAGGATGGCCCAAGTGCTTAGGCCCTGCACCCGCATGGGAGACCAGGATAAGCACCTGGCTCCTGGCTTCGGATCAGTGCGGTGTGCCGGCCGCAGCGGCCACTGGGGGATGAACCAATGGCAAAAGGAAGACCTTTCTCTCTGTCTCTCTCTCTCACTGTCCACTCTACCTGTCAAAAACAAACAAACAAAAAACAAAAAAGAAATAAGTCCATAGGAAAGTATACAGAACTATACAGCTTTACAGTTACAAACTTCCTCCTCCCTCTCTTATTCTCTTATTTTTTACTGAGATCCATCCTCAATTGACTTTATACACATATGATTAATTCTATGTTAAGTAAAGAGTTCAACAAATAGTATGAAGAAAAAAAAACTGAAAAAACAAAACAAAACAAAACAAAACAAAAAAGAAACTGTTCCTCAACAGTCAAGACAAGGGCAGTTCAAATCATCGCTTCTTGAAGTGTCAATTTCACTTCTACAGATTTTGTTTTAGGGACTCTATTAGTTCTCAGATATCAGGGAGAACATATGGTATTTGTCCCTTCGGGACTGGCTTATTTCACTAAGGATGATGATTTCCAGATTCATCTATTTTGTTGCAAATGACTGGATTTCGTTTTTTTAAACAGCTGTGTAGTATTCCATAGTATGCATGTACCATAATTTCTTTATCCAGTCTTTGGGGTGATGGGCATTTAGGTTGATTCCATGCCTTAGCTATTGTGAATTGAGCTGCAATAAACATGGGGGTGCAGATATCTCTTTTATTTATTGATTTAATTTCCCTTGGGCAAATTCCCAGGAGTGGGATGGCTGGGTCATATGGTAGGTCTATATTCAGCTTTCTGAGGTAACTCCATACTGTCTTCCATAGTGGCTTTACCAGTTTACATTCCCACCAACAGTGGATTAGGGTACCTTTTCTCCCCACATCCTTGGCAGCATTTGTTGTTTGTTGATTTATGTATGAAAGCCATTCCAACTGGGGTGAGGTGCAACCTCATTGTGGTTTTGGCTTGCATTTCCCTTTATTAGTTGCATAGTTTTCAAACAAAATGAAAATAAATAAATAAATATTGAAAGGTATTTTTGTTTTTATGAGAAATATGCCATAAATCTTATTGTTATTCTTTTGTCTTTGGTTGCTTTTGAAATTTTTCTCTTTCTGGTATTCTGTAGTTTTACCATCATTTGTATGTGGAGTCTCCACCCGCACCGGGCTGCCTGTTCTTTCAGTGAGGGGTATTATATCTTTAAGTATAGAAAAGTTTGATATATTATCTTCTTTGAACATTGCCTCTCCCTCAATTTTTTATTTCAAGAACTCTTTCTAAAGGTAAGCAATACCTTCTGATCAAGTCCTCTGTATCTCTTAACTTTACTCACACATTTCCCTTTCTCTTTAATCCCTTTGCACTACATTTGGTGTGATTCAAATCTATTTTCCAGTTAGGAAATCCTCTCTTTAGCTGTGTTTAACCTGCTGTTTAACTTGTTATTTAAGCTTTTCATTTCAGTGACACTATTTTTTATGTCTAAAAGTTTTATTTGTATTTTTTTAAATCTGCCTAGGTTTTCTTTATCATGGCTTCTTTTTGGTTATATTTATTTATTTGTTTAATTTGTATTTCATCACACAGTCTTATAACTGTGTGTGTGTGTGAGTATACACATTTTGATGCAATTTTACCACATGCATACCTTTGTGTATCTATCACCACAATCAAGACATACAACTGTTGCATTATCTCAGGACTCCCTCATGCTCTCTCTTTAGAGCCACTTTCTTCACATTCCCACCTTATCTTCAACCCCTGGTAACAAGTAATCTGTTCTCTATTTTTGTAATTTTGTTATTTTTTTCAAATATTTATTTATTTATGAGCCATAGCAAGAGAGAGAGAGGGAGAGAGAGATCTTCTATCTGGTGGTTCATTCCCCAAATGGTCACAACAGCCAGGTGTGGGCCAGGGTGAAGCCTGGAACCAGGAAATCCATCCTGGTCTCCCACATGGGTGGCAAGGGCCCAAGTATTCTGGTGATATTATACTGCCTTCCTAGGGGCTTAGCAGGGAACTGGATCAGAAAAAGAGCAGCCAGGACTCAAATTGGCACTGTGATATGGGATGCCAGTATCACAAATGGTGACTTAACCCACTGTGCCACAATACCAGCCCCTATAATTTTTTTTATTACTCTTTATTATCATTTTAAGAATGTTATGTAAGAGGTGTAATATGAAACCTTCTGATATTGGCTGTCTTCACTCAGCACAATTCCTTTGAGTTTTGTCCAAGTTGTGTGTATCCTTAGCTCAGTCTTTTTAATTACTGAGTAATTCAGTAATTCACTGAGTAGTTCATGGTGTGCATATATCATAGTTGTTTAATCATTTACCAATTGAAGGATATGTGACTTATTTCCAATTTAGAGCTATTATGAATACTTGTGCACTGGTTTTATGTGAACATAAATTTTCATATCTCTGGGATAAATGTCCAAGAATCCAATTGCTGGATAATGTTGTAGTTGCATGTTGAATTTCAAAAGAAATAGCCAAAATGTATTCCAGAGTGGTTATATCATTTAATATTCCCAGAAATGTTTGAATCACCCAGAGTCCCTGCATCCTCATTGTCCTTTGGTATTATCATTGTTTTTCATTTAACTCCTCTAACAGGAATGCAGTCGTATCTCACTGTTGGTATGCCTTGCGTTTCTCTAGTGGCCGACAATACTTAACGTCTTTTCATGTGTTCATCATGAAGTGTCTGTTCAGGTCTTTCGAGCATGTTCTAGTTGGGTTTTTTAACTGTTGAGTTTGGAGAGTTCTTGGATATTCCAGATGCAAGTCCTTTGCTGCATATGTGATTTGAAGGTATTTCCTCCCAGTCTTTGGCCTCTCTTTTAATCATTTCTCTGAGTTGCAGAAGAGAAGTGTTAATTTTTTATGAAGTCCAATTTATCAATTTTTTTCCTTTTATAAATTATGCATTTGCTATTAACTCCTCAATCATTTTGACCTCAGTATCTAGTAGTCTCTTTCTGATTTGCTGTTATAGATAGTTCTTAGGTTACACATTCTTTTCCTTGCTATGGATATGAGCTCTCCCTCATGCTGGTTCATTTCTTCATCTGTTTTGCATGTATGAGGTTTTAGGGTGGTAGGGAGAGGGAATTCTTTTTCATCTTTGCACCCTGAACTGTGGGAATCATTTTGATGTTTTATATTTTTCTTTGCCAGAGCTAGAGAAATTTTATGGATCCTAGACCAGTTTAGGGATTTCTTTTTTCAAATAAATTATTTATTTATTTATTTGAAAGGCAGTTACACAGAAAGCTCTTCTGTCTGCTGATTCATTCCCCCAGATGGCCACAACAGCCAGAGCTGGGATGACCTGAAGCCAGAAACTTCTTCCAGGTCTCTCACATGGGTGCAGGGACCCAAGCACTTGGGCCATCCTCTGCTAAGCACATTAGCAGGGAGCTGCATAGGAAGTGGAGCAGCCAGAACTCAAACTGGTGCCCAGATGGGATGCCTGTGCCACAGGCAGTAGCTTTACTCACTATGCCACAGCACTGGCCCCGGTTTGGGGATTTCTATACCTTATGGGCACTTTTTTTTTGTTATTTGACAGGTAGAGTTACAGACAGTGAGAGGGAGAGACAGAGAGAAAGGTCTTCCATCTGCTGGTTCACTCCCCAAACGGCCACAACGGCCGGAGCTGCACTGATCCGAAGCCAGAAACCAGGTGCTTCCTCCTGGTCTCCCACGCAGGTGCAGGAGCCTAAGCACTTGGGCCATCCTCCACTGCCTTCTGGGGCCACAGCAGAGAGCTGGACTGGAAGAGGAACAGCCCAGACTAGAACCCGGTGCCCATATGGGATTAACCAAGTGAGCCATGGTGCTGGCCCCTTATAGGCACTTAAAATATGGGTCCTGTTTCAGGCTGGCAGACTCTGTCAGGCCCGGGAAACCACTTGGTCTGGCCTTGCCACAGCAACCACAGGCAGGACTCAAAATTCAATAGATCTGTAGCAGCCTGATTTTAAGTTAATACTTTTGTATATCCCTTGAATGATGTTATAAATATAAAAATGGCCCTTGGCAGAAAAAAGATTTCCTAACCCCTGAACTAGGGTTGTTTTTTTTCCCATTGGAGATTTCATCCATCTCACAGAGATCACATAGAGAACTAATTAGCAACTTCCGTGGGCCACCGGGATAACTTGTTTTACTTCCTTTGTCATGGACTTACACAGAAGTTAATCAGCAATTAAGCAGGCGTCCCAGTTCCAGCTCTTTGCCTTTCTCAAGTTCACAGTCTGTGCTTTTCTCCCTGTGTGGATGTTCAGTCCTCGGCCTCCTGTCTTAAGTCCTCCTACCCAGATCCGATATCCCACTTTCCAAGGTTCCTGTATGAGAACTGGAATTGATTGCTCTGATTTGATTTACTTTTTGGTTTTGGCATCTGTGATTTCTCTTTTCTTCCTTCCTTTCTTCCTCCGTCCATCCTTTCCTTCCTTCCTTTTAACCTTGACTGATTACATTTTTGTATAATTTTTATATAACCTTTTAATGTATTTGTAATAGAGTTGACTAAGATTAGCATAGCATCTTTTTTGTTGTTGTTGTTTGTTTGTTTTTTTGACAGGCAGAGTGGACAGTGAGAGAGAGAGACAGAGAGAAAGGTCTTCCTTTTGCCATTGGTTCACCCTCCAATGGCCGCGGCCGGTGCGCTGCGACTGGCACATCGCGCTGATCCGAAGCCAGGAGCCAGGTGCTTATCCTGGTCTCCCATGGGGTGCAGGGCCCAAGGACTTGGGCCATCCTCCACTGCCTTCCCGGGCCACATCAGAGAGCTGGCCTGGAAGAGGGGCAACCGGGACAGAATCCGGCGCCCCGACCCGGACTAGAACCCGGTGTGCCGGCGCCACTAGGTGGAGGATTAGCCTATTGAGCCGCGGCGCCGGCCGTAGCATAACATCTTATGTTGTCAGAACTGAACCACTTCATGTAAGTATTTTTTTTTTTTTAGAAAAAGAAAAGATTTATTTGAAAGTCAGAGTTACAAAGAAAGAGGGAGAGACACAGACAGAGAGATGTTCCACCCACTGGTTCACTCCTCAGATGGCCACAACAGCTAGGCTGAAGCCAGAAGCCGGGACCTTCTTCCAGGTCTCCCACATAGGTGCAGGGGCCCGAACACTGTGCCATCTTCTACGACTTTCCCCAGGCCATTAGAAGGGATCTGGATTGGAAGTGGAGCAGCCAGGACATGAACCAGCACCTATATGGGATATCGGCACTGCAGGGGGCACCTTTATTTGCTATGCCACAATGCTGGGCCCTCAAGTAAGTATTTTAATCTTGAAGATTATACAGAATTTGAGATGAAGAGAATGAAAACTTAATGGAAAAAATAAGAAGAGATAAGATAAGCAGTGATGTTAAAACAACAAAAATTTGACAGGGAAGCCCCAAATATTTCTCCACTATTAAAATACAGGTTTGGATGGAAAGCACCACATCTCCTCTGATGGCTTCTTTCTCTGATCCCATTTCTGCCACTCTGCCCTTTTGTTGTCTCCTCTCCTTTGATTCCCCAGGACATGCTGAACACACAGGGTCCTGGCCTTGTTCCGAGCTTTGTTTTCTGTGTTTACTCCTCCTCATACCCTCTCATCCCCAATCCTGAGCTATAATTTGAGATCTCTTGTTCTAAACATGATGACTGGTTTCTGATTACGCAGCCACTTCCCATGCCTGTCATGGGCCAGGCCGCCAGGCAGACCGGGCTTATCTCAACAATTTGAGTGCTAATTTTACCCTTAATCCCCAAATTGCTTGCTATTCTTAGGCTCCAAAATCTTCAAGCCAAAAAAGTACAAAGCTAGTCTCATTGTGGGAGAATTTTGATAAATGGGGGGAAAAAAGGGTTCCACACAAGAGGCAATGTGCAAGAATTGCCACAGCTAGAGCAGAAGTTGAAAGGCCTTGTATTGTAAGGTAAAATCTTTTCTTCATTCCCCTAATTAATTTTTTTAAGTCCGCATACATTTCTACTCCTCTGTATTGTGTAAACAATGATGCTGCTTAGCACAGTGATGCTGGGTGCGCTCGCTTGATTGTGCAATCCAAAAACAGTGGCGCCACAGAAGGTAGAAGAGTGGTTACCAAGGGCCAATGGGGAGGGAATGGGAAGATGTTGTCCAAAGGATACAAACTCTCAGTTAAAACACAAACAGGCCGGCGCCGCGGCTCACTAGGCTAATCCTCCGCCTTGCGTCGCCGGCACACCGGGTTCTAGTCCCGGTCGGGGCGCCGGATTCTATCCCGGTTGCCCCTCTTCCAGGCCAGCTCTCTGCTGTGGCCAGGGAGTGCAGTGGAGGATGGCCCAAGTGCTTGGGCCCTGCACCCCATGGGAGACCAGGAGAAGCACCTGGCTCCTGGCCTTGGATCAGTGCAGTGCGCCGGCCGCAGCGCGCTGGCCGCGGCAGCCATTGGAGGGTGAACTAATGGCAGAGGAAGACCTTTCTCTCTGTCTCTCTCTCACTGTCCACTCTGCCTGTCAAAAAAAACAAAAACAAAAACAAAAAAAACAAAAAAACAAACAAAAAACAAACAAAAACAAAAACAAAAAACCCACACAAATTGGACTAGCTCTGTGGCTTAGCAGGTTAAGGCTGCCACCTGCACTGCTGGCTTCCCATATGGGCATCCCATATGGTTTGAGTCCCGGCTGCTCCACTTCCACTGGGAAAGCAGTAGAAGATGGCCCAGGTCCTTAGAACCCTGCACTCATGTGGGAGACCCAGGGGAAGCTCCTGGCTCCTGGCTTCAGATCGGTACAGCTCTGACCTCTCTCTCTCTCTCTGTCTCTACTTCTCTCTGAACTGTCTTTCAAAGAAATAAAATAAATCTAAATAAATAAATAAACAAATCCTTAGTATCTAATGTAGAAGATGGATAGCAGTATTCATTGATTTGACTGTGGTAATCATTACACAATGTCCATGTATATAAAACCATCCTATTACACACCTTGAATATAAATGATCTTTGTCAACAAAATTTTTTTAAAAAATTCTAATCATTTATTCAAAAGGCAGAACAGCAGAGAGAGAGAGAGAGAGAGAGAGGTAGTTCCATCTGCTAGTTCACTTCCCAAATGCCCACAATAGCCAGGGGTGGGCCAGCTGAAGCCAGGAGTCTGAAACTCCATCCTGGTCTCCTATATGGGTGGCAGAGGCCCAAGTAATTGGGCCATCATCTACTACTTTCCCAGGAGCATTAGCAGGGACCTGGATTGGAAGTGGAGAAGCTGGCACACCAACTAGCACTCCAGTATGGGGTGTGGGTGATGCAAGCAGTGACTTAGGCCACTGCACCACAATGCTGGCCAATGCAATATATCTAAAAGTTAAAATAAAATGACTAATGGTAAAAAAGAAAACAAATAACAATAAAAACCAAGATTCTTCTTACTGAAGTTCTTTGAAGCATTCCTACTGCATTTAAAATAAAATTTAAATTTTTTCTAGTGGCCTACAATGACTTACACAGTTGGCCCCTGCCTGCTCTTCAACCTCAGATCCGTGTCTTCCATTTAATATATAGATTCAGATCTTATTTCTATGCAGTTTTTTCTTAAATTACAATTTTAAATATAGTTTTGTTTTAATGTTTTCATTCTTTTTTAAATAAGTTTATTTATTGAAAGAGAATGATAGAGGGGAAAGAGAGAGAGAGAGAGAGAGAGATGTCATCCATATACTGTCTCATTCCCCCAGATGCCTGCGCAGCCAGGGCTGGGCAGGCTGAAGCTAGGATCCAGGAATTCCATTGGGATCTCTCATGTGTGTGATAGACCCAAATACTTACGCCATCTCAGAGTGTGCATCTGTAGGCACCTGGATGGGAAGCATAGGTGGACCCAGTACCGAGCACTGCAGTATGGGATGTGGGCATCCCGAGTGGCAGCTTAACCTGCTGCGCCACAGTGCCTGCCCTGTGTTTATTCTTTATACACTCTAATTATCCATGCTGGATCTCCTTTGCTGGTGGGAGAATATGGACAACTCTGAATCAATTTTATTTCCTAATTTTTAATTACTTTTTATTTGAAAGACAAAGAAAGAGAAAGATCTTGCATCCACAGGTTTGCTCCCCAACTGCCCATATCAGCTGTGGCTGGGCCAAGCCAAAGTCAAGAGCCAATCCAAGTCTTCCATGTGGGTGTCAGAGAGCCAAGCACTTGAACTATCACATGGAGCCTCCCAGAGTGCACATCACTAGGAATGTTGGAATTGGAAGGGGAGAGAGAACTCGAACCCAGGCACTCCGATATGTGATATGGACATCTTAACTGTTGCTCCAAACATCCCCCTCTCCAAATCACTTTAAAATAATTGGCCATCATTTCAGCTCATAGTGTATCTTAAATGCCTGGTATGCCAGAATATTCCCCAGCCAATGATACAAAAAAAAAAAAAAGGAATCAATATTTCAATATTTCCTTTTGCTTCATATGAGCTGATAATCTATACATAGGAGGCAGCTAACAGAAAATATCTTGATGGGGGCTGGCGCTGTGGCATAGTGGGTAAAGCCACCACCTTTAGTGCCGGCATCCCATATGGGCACAAGTTTGAGTCCTGGCTGCTCCACTTCCGATCCAGGTCTCTGCTATGGTCTGGGAAAACAGTAGAAAATGGCCCAAGTCCTGGGGCCCCTGCACCTGCATGGGAGACCAGGGAGAGACTCTTGGCTCCTGGCTTCAGATTGGTCCAGCTACTGCCATTGGAGTGAACCACCAGATGGAAGATCTCTCCTTCTCTCTGTAACTCTGCCTTTCAAATAGATAAATAAACCTTTTTTAAAAAAATGGTTTAGGCCGGCGCCGCGGCTCACTTGGCTAATCCTCTGCCTGCGGCGCCAGCACCCCAGGTTCTAGTCCTGGTTGGGGTGCCAGTTCTGTCCCGGTTGTTCCTCTTCCACTCCAGATCTCTGCTGTGGCCCGGGAAGGCAGTGGAGGATGGCCCAAGTGCTTGGGCCCCTGCACCCGCATGGGAGACCAGGAGGAAGCACCTGGCTCCTGGCTTCGGATCGGTGCAGCGCACCAGCTGTAGTGCCTCTGGTGGGGTGAACCAACGGAAGGAAGACCTTTCTCTCTGTCTCTCTCTCTCTCTCACTGCCTAACTCTGCCTGTCAAAAAAAAATGTTTTAAAAAAGAAAATATCTTGATGAAAAGGAGGAGTGTTGATATATGATTAACTACTAAAATAAGGATAAATGTATTTGATGATATAGGATTGAATTATGTAACTGAAGACAAAAAAGGCTACTTGTAAAATCCTGGCTTATCAGGCTCCAAGGCAGAAATCTTATCTTCTCCATTCATTTATATGCTCACATTGATTTTTTTTTTTTTTTTTTTTTTGACAGGCAGAGTGGACAGTGAGAGAGAGAGACAGAGAGAGAAAGGTCTTCCTTTGCTGTTGGTTCACCCTCCAATGGCCACCGCGGCCGGCGCACCGCGCTGATCCGATGGCAGGAGCCAGGAGCCAGGTGCTTTTCCTGGTCTCCCATGGGGTGCAGGGCCCAAGCACCTGGGCCATCCTCCACTGCACTCCCTGGCCACAGCAGAGAGCTGGCCTGGAAGAGGGGCAACCGGGACAGAATCCGGCGCCCCAACCGGGACTAGAACCCCGTGTGCCGGCGCCGCTAGGCGGAGGATTAGCCTAGTGAGCCGCGGCGCCGGCTCACATTGATTTTTGTTTCAACACTCACTGATATTATGTTTGTACTGCACTAACTCAAATTATTTCTTTAAAAATAATGTATGAAGGGGCCGGCACTGTGGCACAGCAGGTAAAGCTGCCTCCTGCAGTGCCAGCATCCCATATGGGTGCCAGGTTCGAGTCCTGGCTGCTCTACTTCCTATCCAGCTCTCTGCTATAGCTCGGGAAAGACGATCAAGGTGACCCAGAACTTGAGACGCTGTGCCCCTCTAATGAGATCCCTAGAACCCTACTGGCATCCTGTCTTCTCCTGAGCAAGCTCTTCCTTCTTGGCGTACCTCACGGAAGTGGAACCGGTGCACTCACCACTTACTTGGCTGCAGACTCTCTCTCTGGGGAATCTGAAA